ACACTGATAACTGCTGGGACAGTTGCTGGTGGAGGCAGCAAGGTGGAAACCTAGTGGATGGGTAAACAAATGCCCCTTGTTTGCACGGCCTGGGCGCTGGGGGTGGAACAGGCCGGTACCGGCAGCAGGCAGAGCCGCAGGGACGATTCCCGCAGGAATATTGCATGTGCAGAGCCCTTGGATCCCCTGTAAAAAGGGGCTATAAAACCCCAGCTGGGTGCAGCCAGCATCCTAGCAGATAAAGGCTTTGCTTTCCTGCTACATGCAGGTGGGTAAAGGTTGCAGGAAAGGAAGGCTTTGAGTTCTATAATAGGCTTTTGTAATATTTTCTCTCTCTTAATTGCTCAATCCCGGAACCAGACTCCCTCGGGCTCTTTCTCATTCGAGCCAGCACTAAAAGTTGCACATCCAGAACCCCAGCGTCGGGGCACTTTAGCAATCTCGGGCTCCTGGTTTTTGTGTACAACCTGCGCCGTTCTGGGGGTGACTGCAGAACTCACAGTTGAACCACAGCGGGTCAAAGCCCGAGCGCTCCTCGAGTGTTTGCTCCGTTGTCATGAGAGCACCAACGTGTTATGGCTCAAATGCACCACGAATAACGTGGTGTCGGCACCGGGAGCCGCGGCAGCAGAACCAGGCACGGTGGCGGGATGGATCCCAGTGCCAGCGCGGGATGGACGGAGGGCCAGGCTGCTTCCCAGCCCCGTGTAAGGAGGGTAGAAGGGATTCTGAGGCTGAGACGCGTGAGGAGAAACAGGATTAACCCCCAGGAGGCACAGAGGGTCCTTCTGCGCCTTGCGGGACCGCTGCTGCGGGCCCAGACCCGCTCCATCCCCATGCAGGGCAGGTTTCAGGGATGCCATTTACGGGGAGCAGCCCTTGGAGCGGTTTTCCTTACGGATGGCCCAGGCCAGCAGTCCGAACCGGAGCCTTCGTGGGAGCGACGGCAGCACAACGGCCTCCACACCACGATGCTCCTCAGCAGAGCCCGGAGATGGGAGCAAAGAAGCGCCGGGCTGGGAAGCCGGGCAGGGGTCTGCAAGAGGCTGGAGCAGAGGCTGGGACCGTCCTTGGCACCCCCAGCAGGGTCGGGGCCGCCTGGCCGCGCTATCAGTCCTTGCTCCCAGCCAAGGTCAGCAACGCGCACGGGCGCCCTGACACCGAGAGAGGAGCCCGGCCGGCCCCTTCCTGCTCCTTCCGCCTCTAATGTTGCCGAAAGCAGCTGCCGCTTTCAACACGATTCCCTTGGCAGGAGGAGAGGAAAAACAGGCCGCGGGGCTGGAGCTGCCAAAGACGCAGCGGGAAGTCAAGGGCAGCTGCTGGACGAGCCGGCGCGGAGCGTGACCCCGGCCTGGAAATAGCAGCTCCTTCCAGAGCCGGAGCCTCTCCGAGAGCCTCACGTGCTGGATTTGCTTCATCTTTCTTTGGACCCACCAAGTGCTTTCCCTTTCTTCCCTTCTCTATTCACCTCTCTGCATAGGTGGGAGATGTTCACAGAACCATAGGGTGGCTGAGGTTGGAAGGGACCCCTAGACACCATCCAGTCGTCTAGTTCTCTCTTGCTGGGTCTCTTTCTCCTCCAGGAAGGAGCTATCACTAAAAGAGTGGTCGCATCTTGTATTTACTTTCCATAGGAAGCAAAAACTTCGGGGCAAATAGAAGGCAAAGAACAGGTTGCTACAAGAGCTCAGGGCCAAAAGCAATAGGAATAGTCTTGTTTTTACAGCTTTTCACATGCCCAGATGTAGAAATCCCAATGTCAGCCACATTGCGTGGACCTTCTGCTCCCAGGGCTGGAAGCTGCATGGCAGGACGGTGCTTTGCCCTTGTTACCCTCTTTATTTGAGGCAGTTTTGAGGGGTATCAGTCAAACCTGCTCTACAGCAGCCGACCCCACGTGCCCAGCACGGACAGGCAGAGCTGCCACGGCCAAGTCCATCTGTCCGTGCTGCCGGGACCTTGGTTTCTGCCAATGCTTCTGGACTTTGCTCCCCAGCCTAGCTGCAGGGCACACTTGCAGTGCATCTAAATAATTCAGTTAGCGGTTAAAACATGCAAAACACGCAGTGCAATCTAGTATTTTTTTTTTTTCTAAGAAATTGGAACTGCTCCGTTCTGGCTGCTGAATCGTGCCCGAAAGGGGAGGGCAGGGGGGGTTGCTTCTCCTCCGAGTTGCGTCTCTCCCTGGAAATGGCCGTTTTTCGGGGATGACGACATGATTCCTTGCACTTCGCAGCGTGCACTGGAACCCGTGGGTTGTGCTCCATGAGGCACTTTGTTGTGATAACATCAATGCACAGGCTGTCGTCAGCTGGCAGCATCTGCAAAGCCGTTTTCCTTAAGAAATCACTCAGCACGACAGCTTTTCTAGCATGCAGGTCCATGCCTGACTTCCAATCTGGCATCAGAAACTGCTCCCCTTCCTTGAGCTGCAGAGTAAATTGTTTCATTTGCGTTATTCCCAATAATGTACTAGAGAGCTTGGAGTGAAGGGCATTAGTCTAGCAGAATATGCATGAAACAAATGCATAAGATTCCTTATGCACTGTGTTTAATAGCATCCACGCTGCAGCTCACATTTCGGTTTTCTAACGCCAGCCAGCATCCACGAATTAGGCTGATCGCCTCGCACGAGTGACAGATTGTTACTGACTTCCTTCCCAAGTCGACAAAAGCAAAAGTCACGAGGATATTGCAAAAATGCTCCAGGACCCGCAGTCTTCGTGAGCATATGCTGGGTGGCGGAGTGCGGGAGCAGGGCTAACGCAGGCCCCAGGGATTAATCTAATACTGTGTCTAGATGCTAATACAATAATGGTTCTTTGTGGCATTAGCAGGAATCATGAGACCGGCTCTGAGATGTCATAGCCTGGCAGCCGCGGGGAGCGCTGGCCTTGATCTCTGCAATACAGAGAAATAACCGGGCCCTTGGTGAAAGCTGCCGAGGGACCGTGGAAATGCAGCAAACCGGCCCCTTGTTTTGGTGAGAGCTCCGCTGGGAACAGCCTCTTGTTGAGTCTAGGAAGGGTGGAGGGAACAAGGGTTATCTGGAAAGGGATAACTGCTTTTCCTCCAGTTTTCCAGTTGTGTGGTGTGATGTCCCGATAGCAACAGGAGATAGGACGTTCGCGTTGGCAATACCAAGGCTATAAACCCACATTTCTAGGGCCACAACTTACCTGGTAAGTCCCTATCCTCACTGGCAGTGGGATTTTACTATACAGAGTCACTGTAAAACGTGCCGAAGCCAGTGAAACGATTCGCGTTGGTTTCAGCAGACTGGCTTTCATCTCCCTTGCGAGGTTGGCACCCAAAAAGCTTTTAGGGTTGATCCTGACCTAACCCCATTGCCAGAGGGGGAAACTCCCTCCCACTCAGCACGCTTGTGCCCGCAAAAACCCAAATCAAGCAAAAGCGGAGCAAGTTTACCACAGGAATCAGCAGGTTGGCATTTTATTAGCGCCTGAGGCTTGGAATCCCCGGTGAAGTCAGTTTTGTCTGCTCTTCCTGCAGATAGGGACCCCAGCAGGGCACGTAAGGGACCTGTGGAGATCCCATCCCCTCCTCACTGTGCCATGAGGGGACGCAAAGCCCCTGTATGGTGGTACAAGGGGACCCCATGGGTTCCTTGTACCCTGCTGTGAGGAACGCCCTAGAAGTCGCCATGTTTGTGTTGGAAGTGACCCAAGGGCCACCACACTGTGCCATGGGGGGGGGCACCAAACCCTCCTCACCATGTCACTGGGGGACGCCAAACCCTCCTCACCATGCCATGAGGGGGGACACCAAACCCTCCACACCGTGCCATGGCGGCACATGGAGCCCTCCTCACCATGTCATAGCGGGGACAAGGAGCCCCCCTCACCATGCCATTGGGGGACACCAAACCCTCCTCACCATGCTATGGTGGGGGGATACCAAACCCTCCTCACCATGCCATGGGGGCATATGGAGCCCTCCTCACCATGCCATGTGGGGGACATGGAGCCCTCCTCACCATG